GACAATGGCGGACATTTACATCCTGTCTGCCAGTTCCCCAGGACTTTGTCTCTGGGTCACATTGGGGGCCTGAGCTGCATCTTCCTGAGCACATCCAGGATGCTGGGGAGAGTGTGTTCCTCCAGTGCGAGAGCACATTTGAGCCTGTGCTCTACAGAAGTCACTATAATTCATCTATCATCCACCTAATATGTCATTTATCTATCATGTATCTATCATTCATATCAGCCTATCCGTCATTATATATCATCCATCCATCCATCCATCCATCCACCCATCCACGCATCTGTTCCCAATTCCCTTCCTGAACTGGAAAGTCCCTGCTCGATGAGGAGTCCAGAATCCAGAGAGCAGAGTGTTGGCCTTAGGAACGTCCGTTCCTTGTGCTGAGGACAGCAGGCACTCCAGGAATGTCTGTTCCTGGACTCGGTGTCCCCGTCCAGTGCCCCAGGCTTCCCCAGCTATGAGAGAGGACCTCATTCACTGCAGAGCAGGGGACATCTCCAAAGCTGGTCCGGTGAAGCCCCAAGGTGCCACCTGTGTCCTGCAGGTACCCTGCAGCTCTGGTGAGAGGCCATGGAGAACACTGCAGGACCCTTCCCCAGGCCCATGCAGCCCAGGCTGCCAGGCCAACCTCTGTCCTATGCTGATGCCCCGTGAGTGGGTGTCACAGTTTGGGAGGCACCGGCTGTTCTCAAGCCCCCCTGAGAGCTCAGGAGAGGTTTGGGTCCAGAGGGGACATGTGTTCGTTCTCTGTGTACACAATTTGAAACCAAATCTTGAGCTACGGCTTTCTTATTGATTCCCTTCTAGTTTTCCGAACAAATTAGTCTGTACTTTTTTATTTTTTTCTATTTATGGCTGACCCTTTGGATTTATGAGGCCATGTGAGAGGAGTTATGTATTTTACACGCACACGTTTGGCACAGTAATAAATCTCCCACATCGAAACCCTGCAGACCTGCCTCAAATTTGGTAGTGTCCCTTCTGGTCGCTATGGGGTGGGTGCTGACGGCTCAGCATGACTTCCGTGGCTGTGCTCGCAGCTGGAACGGCCTCCAGACATGACATTGCCTGGGCGATGGGCAGGCTGCAGTGTTGCTGGAGTCATCTCTCGGCCTGTGGCCCCGTGCCCTTGAAGGGAGGCTGGTCAAGGGGGACTAATGAGAATCCTACCACACCTCCAGGGACAGCGGGTTCCGAGGGAGGCCGGCCTAGAAAATGACTGGCTAGAGAAGAAGCGTGTTCACCCAGGTGGTGAACATTTTTAATCTCAGCCAACATGACGTGCGCAGGGCCGCGGGCTTGGGCGTTCAGATATATTGACTCGGCAAGACTTCAATATCAGGATTACTCCCCTCCAGGTCTCACGATGCTTGGCTTGACTCCGATCCCCGGTAACCTCTTGGGCCAATAAATCTTGATACCTGTCTCCAGAGAAGTCATTATCTTTCATAGAAAATTATTATTTCTCAGTTAAACCCCACGTTTAATTTTCCTGTGATCTGTCTCTTTCAGTTTCCCCGTTTAACGGTCCCTCCTGCATAAAATGCCCATGAACGCGCCTTCAACACTTTAAATGCCAGGTCATCAGACCAGCTTTACAAGTCGGTTTGATTCCTTACTCTGTGCGGCCATAATAGCCACTCTCATAAATATAAATGAAGGCTTGACGGCCACTTCCAGAGGGGTGGTGGCTGGCTGCACGCACACAAGAGGAGCACGGCAGTGTCTGTTTAGTTGGTGCCCTCCTGTGCCCGGGGGTCTGGCTTCCTGAGCACGCTGGCCTCCCACATGGAGCTGGGTCCTTGCTGGGCCAGGTTCTCCTGCGGCTGGGGACAAGGCTGTCTGCTGAGTGCCCACAAAAACCTGTCCAGTGAGTCAGTCCTGTTCCACGCTGGCTCTGTCAAGGTCCCAGGACAATGTCTGCAAGTCCCATATCTGTCCTGATGCTCCTTTGTCCAATCTGCTCACTCTGTGCCAGCCATCAAACACTCAAACGCCAAACTGCTTCTCTGCCTTTGTCCCCCAACTAGCCTGTCCTGTCCTTTGCCTCAAGCAAAGACCCCTTCCTAATGCTCTGTTAGGTAGAAGTCAGAAAATGGAGGAGGAGGAGGGGTGGGGGGGGGTCCAAGATGCCCACAGGAAAAGCTCATAACTAGCTTTGATAACTGCCTCCAGCCACGATCTGTTTTTACAACAACAGATGACAAGAGGTGGTCTGGAGCAAGAAAAGGATCTGAGTCAACAGACCTCCACCCATCTTAGGAGGCCACACCCTCCCATGGAAGAGCATGTACCACCTGTAATCGCCAAATCAACATGGAACTCCTTCACCCCACCCAGCACACTATTGGGTTTTCGGAAAACTCAGGACGTATTTTGTCTATGTTTTTCAAAGGTCATTTATTTATACAAAGGACAAAGATCAATCAATGATATTTTGCCCGTTTTGTTTGATAACCTTTTGCCATCTTTCAGTGAGCTTCATAATTCCTTGTTCATAGAAGGACCTGTCTTTATTTGCGAAAAACTAAACAAGGTGCTGATTTACAGCCTCATCTGAATTGACCGTTATACCATGCAAGGAGTTTTGAAGAGAGAGAAACAAGTGGAAGTCTGATGGTGCAAGGTCAGGCGAGTATGGTGGGTGCGGCAACACATCCCATCCAAGCTGCAATAATTTTTGACGGGTGATCAAACCTGTGTGTGGTCTCACGTTGTGATGGAACACAACTCCTTTACAATTAACAAGCTCTGGACGTTTCTGGATGATGGATTCGTTCAAACTGTCCAATTGTCGACAGTACACATTCAAATTGATTGTTTGGTTCCTTGGTAGGAGCTC